GAAGGAGTGGCTTCGTAAGAAGCATTTCAAGGTCCTGGAGTGGCCTAGCCAGTCTCCAGATCTCAACCCCATAGAAAATCTTTGGAGGGAGTTGAAAGTCCGTGTTGCCCAGCGACAGCCCCAAAACATCACTGCTCTAGAGGAGATCTGCATGGAGGAATGGGCCAAAATACCAGCAACAGTGTGTGAAAACCTTGTGAAGACTTACAGAAAACGTTTGACCTGTGTCATTGCCAACAAAGGGTATATAACACAGTATTGAGAAACTTTTGTTATTGACCAAATACTTATTTTCCACCATAATTTGAAAATAAATTCATTAACAATCCTACAATGTGATTTTCTGGAAAAAGAAATTCTCATTTTGTCTGTCATAGTTGACGTGTACCTATGATGGAAATTACAGGCCTCTCATCTTTTTAAGTGGGAGAACTTGCACAATTGGTGGCTGACTAAATACTTTTTTCCCCCACTGTACATTGACTACAGCTCAGCGTTCAACACCATAGTGCCCTCAAAGCTCATCACTAAGCTAAGGACCCTGGGACTAAACACCTCCCTCTGCAACTGGATCCTGGACTTCCTGATGGGCCGCCCCCAGGTGGTAAGGGTAGGTAACAACACATCCGCCACGCTGATCCTCAACACGGGGGCCCCTCAGGGGTGCGTGCTCAGTCCCCTCCTGTACTCCCTGTTCACTCATGACTGCATGGCCAGGCACGACTCCAACACGATCATTAAGTTTGCCGATGACACAACAGTGGTAGGCCTAATCACAGACAACGACGAGACAGCCTATAGGGAGGAGTTCAGAGACCTGGCTGTGTGGTGCCAGGACAACAACCTCTCCCTCAACGTGATCAAGACAAAGGAGATGATTGTGGACTACAGGAAAAAGAAGAGGACCGAGCACGCCCCCATTCTCATCGACGGGGCTGTAGTGGAGCAGGTTGAGAGCTTCAAGTTCCTTGGTGTCCACATCACCAACAAACTAACATGGGCCAAGCACACCAAGACAGTCGTGAAGAGGGCACGACAAAACCTAAGGAGACTGAAAAGATTTGGCATAGGTCCTCAGATCCTCAAAAGGTTCAACAGCGGCACCATCGAGAGCATCCTGACTGGTTGCATCACAGCCTGGTATGGCAACTGCTCAGTCCCCGACCGCAAGGCACTACAGAGGGTAGTGCGTACGGCCCAATACATCACTGGGGCCAAGCTTACTGCCATCCAGGACCTCAATAGCAGGCGGTGTCAGAGGAAGGCCCTAAAAATTGTCAAAGACTCCAGCCACCCTAGTCAGACTGTTCTCTCTGCTAACGCACGGCAAGCGGTACCGGAGCGCCAAGTCTAGATCCAAGAGGCTTCTAAACAGCTTCTACCCCCAAGCCATAAGACTCCTGAAGATCTAATCAAATGGCTACCCAGACTATTTGCATTGCCCCCCCCCCCCCCTTATGCTGCTGCTACTCTCTGTTTATTATCTACGCATTGTCACTTTAATAACTCTACCTACATGTACATATTACCTCAATTACCTTGACTAACCGGTGCCCCTGCACATTGACTCAGCCCCTGTATATAGCCTCGCTATTGTTATTTTACTGCTGCTCTTTAATTATTTGTTACTTTTATTTAACATTATTTGATATTGTATTTGTGTGAATTTGATTGTGTATTTGTTTTTTGTTTTTTTTTGGGGGGGGGGGTATTCTTGAAAGATTAAGGGCTTGTAAGTAAGCATTTCACTGTAAGGTGAATACCTGTTGTATTCAGCGCGTGTGACAAATACAATTTGATTTGATTTAAGCCATTTTGAATTCGGGCTGTAACCCAACAAAATGTTGAATAGGTCAAGGGGTATGAATACTTTCTGAAGGCACTGTATGTCTATGGTGTATGTAGGCACCTGAGTTGAGCCATAAGGGAAACTGGGCATCTACCATGCCACTATCAGATAAGGGGGGCACTTTTTATCTGAAATCACCATCACCACTAATTAATTTGTAATTTTTGCAGATTCAAAGTCTTTGAGCTAGTAATGTATCAATATTTATTGTTTAAAATCAGCTATTACATGGCCAATGAATAGGCAGCAGCGCCTCTTCCCCTTCAGGAAGTTGAAAGGTTTGGCATGGGCCCTCAAATCCTCAAAAGTTATACAGCTGCACCATTGAGAACATCTTGACTGGCTGCATCACTGCTTGGTATGGCAACAGCACCGCCCTCGATCACATGGCGCTACAGAGGGTGGTGCGGACAGCCAGTGTTGCCAACTTAGCGACTTTGTCGCTATATTTAGCGAGTTTTCAGACCCCTCTAGCGACACATTTTCAAAAAAGCGACTAGCGACAAATCGAGCGACCTTTTCTGGTGTTATTGGAGACTTTTGGAGACTCTGCCGTGAAAGCACGTATCGTTCTTACTCTTCTCAACGAGCAGCGGGTGCTACCGTGGGCCCCACCTCCGTCCCAAAGCACTCACAGGCGGCCCAGACCTCGCGCAGCAGTCCCTCCCAGCTGCAGTCAGAGCAGGAGATGTTCACCCCTCCGCGTCCAGACTGCAAATGAATCGCGCATGCGGGAAGCCGCCGCTGGCTGATCCCGCAATGGCTTACATTCAGGGCAGGATGTAAATGTAGGTTGTTTTTTACTCACTTTTTGTCTCTCCCACGACGTTATTCCTCTCTCCTACAGCATCCATCACAATTATATGCACATGGCCAATTATGCAAATTAGGCGATGACGTCATTTAGCGACTTTTAGGACAGCCAATAGCTACTTTCCTTACTGAGAAGTTGGCAACACTGTGGACAGCCCAGTACATCACTGGGGAGGAGCTCCATTCCATTCAAGACCTCTATATCAGGCAGTGTGAAAGGAAGGCCCGGAAAATCATTCGACTCCAGCCACCCAAGCCATAGACTGTTGACCATGTATTTTATTTTTTATTTTTGCACTGTCTCTATGTACATTCACAGGACTCTACACACTCACGCATAGTGACACTTCAACACAGATAACATGCACACACATTTATACTGACTTTACACACGCACACACACTCACATATATTCATAATTTACACTGCTGCTTCTCTGTTTATCATATTTCCCGATGGCTACTCACCTTACCCCTATACATATCTAGCTCTATCACTCCAGTATCCCTGCACATTGTAAATATGGTATTTGAACTGACCCTGAATATAGCGTCTTACTTTCTCGTGTTTTTCTTATTTCAAGTTTTTATTTCTCGTGTGTTTTTGATCTACCTTTTGTTATTTTTAGTGCTACATTGATATTGATTACTGCATTGTTGGGTTTGGAGCTGGCAAGAAAGGCATTTCACTGTACTTGTGCACGTGACATTAAAACTTGAAACTTGAAAATATAGCACAACTTTGGGTTTCACCCCGTCTCAAACTCGAATCAATAGCGAACGGTTTAGACCATTTGGAAGTTTTTACAGTGAACCTTTATTTTCCTCCCGCTTCAACTGTGCAGTGCGGGTAAAAAAAGCGATTGTTGTCCTCCTTATGACATTGTCAACTTTATGCTGTATATCAAAAAATGACCATATACACTGATTGTTTTAAAGCAAAACTACCAGATTACTGATGGTGAACCTTAACAATCGAAAATAAATCGAATGTAATTTAGCCCCGATCAGCAGGTAGGCCAGATGAGTCGTGTCTCAGGTGGTTGCTTAGGCTACTTTATTCCGGTAAAACACAATTTCCAACAGCGCATTTGATAATAACCTAGTAAATTACACTGGTTGTCACTTAACTAATAAAGCCTAATATTGCGCAAGCCATTTTACAAAAATTTGAATGTTGAAGTTGACGCTCGCCTTTCTCTCCTTGGTCAGCGCGCACTGCGCAGTTTGACTAAGCTACTGATATTGCCTGTGTTGTTCCGTAAGCAAAATGACATGTTGGTCAATGACTGTCAACACATATACATGCTTAGTTCGACACCTGAAGGAAAGGACGCATTCGTTGCCACACAAGATTAGGTGTTTTTCGGAAGGTAGAAAATAAAGTAATTTGAGCAAAACATTTTAGTGAACCGTCGATTCGTAATGTTTGAATCGATTTTCTGACGGATGCATGCTACATTTGGATCGGTTTGGGTCCCGCAGACCAATTCACTCGCATCTTAAACATTTGAACCTCGGACAGATGCGTAGTGGTGGAGTTACATCCCTGGAAATTTTGGTTAATAGCTCAGCGCTACCCTCAGGTTTTAGAAAGTGGTTGTGGGGGAGTACCCAAACACAGCACTGAGCACTTGTTGTATCACAATCCATTTTGAATTCATCTCTCAATCACACTAGAAGTGCATTAGCTGCCATTTGGTGAAATGTCCTTGGCATTAAAACTTAATTAGTGTAGGAACATCCATGTCTTAACATAGTGTACATACACTGCATGGAAATCCCAGTTAAACAGTGGGCATTAGGTTATCAACTAGCTGCTTAATTTAGCTGTTCATAGACATAACTCCTCCAGTGCAAGGGACAGAAGGCCATTCAGTGTGCAGGCAGGCAGGGCCAGGGAGCCATGTATCCAGCCAAGCAGGTGCAAGATCTCCCAGTCCACTCCCTCAGGAGCAGTGAAAGTGCTAGCAGCTGCTGAAGAGATGTACTGACACTTAAACCGGGATGCACTGAAACATTTGACTGTAACTGGTCCAAAAGAGCTGGTGGCCAAACAGTGTTTCACCCTTCTCAATCTACTAGAAGGATTAGGCTATTATTGTTCTGCAGAAAGCTGATGTCCGTGCCAAAGACTCCCTAAGCCCTGATAGAACTTCTGACTTCAAAGTGGCTTGATTTGGGGTGGTCAACTGTCCTGACTTGTAAGTGACAAGTGTCTCATCTTGCTGTTCTCTTCTCCCTACAGGTTGCTGTCTACGGGACCCAACCCATGATGTACAGCGCCTGCTCTACAGCCCCACCCATTTCCTGTCTGTAGAGGAAGCGGCTCCACCAGCATGTCCTCCCACCCCCAGTCTGTGCCTCAGGGCAGGAGGGCTGTGGACACCCGCCACTTGCCAAACCCTGCCAGTCTACCACTGCAGCTGGCACGGGCACATACGGTAAGAGCCCTGGGAAATCCTGGGCTAGTTTTCGCTGGAGCCAGGAACACTGGTACTTAGCACCTTCACATGAAAAGCTCAGTGTATAATTGTAGATGTTACCCTGGCTCCCAATCGTTAGCAGTGATTTTGTCAACAGAGAATTGTCCTGCACCGATGGAGGGAGCACGACCCTAGGGGCCCAAGATTGTGTTTTTATAACAGTAACATTCCGAGGCTACACTGTTGTGCACACACAGGGCATGACGCGCTAGAACCTGCTCGCCTATTAGATGTTTGAGTTGAAAGTTCATGTTGTCATGGTTGGTGCCTCTAGGGCAAATCAGGCGCATGTTATAGGGCCTTTCTTACTGAAGAATGTGTGTTTCATATGATTGTGTTTGGTTTGCTTTTCATGTGTTGTATAATTGATTTGTATATAGATATGAATAGTGTAATTATTGTTTATTGATGTGTTCATGCAGGGCTCATATAAAGGTTAAATAAATATATGGTGGAATCATGTTAAGGGTTTCTCAATGATGGTCTCATGTCTTCCCTCATTTCTTAATCGTTATGACGGTTGTTTGAAAGGATCAGAGGGAGACTTCCCGGAAGAGGCCCCTAGCTAGTACGTACGTTCATCTTGTGTCGTGATGTCCCATGTTGGCTTGATCCGCTCTCTCTATTATAAGGAGGGAATCCAAGGGTTACCCCCCAGGATCCCCACAGCTGCGCCTGCTTGTTAATCCCCCCACTCCAACTCCTCATCACGTTGAGGAGGAGATATGGGCAGACAGACAGTCCACACCCCACAGTCAATCCCTCAGCCTCAGCTCAGTGAGAGAGGTGCACGTGTAGAGAAGCTCACTCTCTCATATGTGTGAGGGAAATGGAGAGTGAGGATTCTACAGTAATGACCAGGGAGGAAGAGGTAGATGAAGAAGGAGAAAATAAGGGAATAAGTGAAAAAACATTGGCGAGAGTTGAGACACGCCATCATAGACTTGTCTTGCTGTCTCAGATCTGATGATTTCTTATTTTTCTTCTGTGTGTTCGTTGTCCTCTCCTCATGCGTTGCTGTGTTGTATGTTTCAGGATGTGGGACTGGTGGACTATCACCCTCACTCTCGGGACTACAGCTCCCACCTGGTTCAGCCCCACCGCCGCCGGCCCTCTCTGCTGTCCGAGTTCCAGCCAGGGAATGAGAGGTACGTAGCTAGCTACTACTTTGTACTACTACTTGACATGATTACCCACACTGCTCTTCCTCAGGACCAAGGACCCCCTCTCAAGTATTTTAGCACATGGGTTTCTTTGATCTCTGACATTCCTAGAAGCCCCTGTCACCTTTGGTCATCACATTAAATAATTTATTTAAGAACATGATTTGTTCTATGTGATGGGTGTTCAGATGTTGGCATGCTTATTTCATCTTCATGGAATCCTTTGACAGACAGAGCAGCAGAGAAATTCAAGTCATCTTGAGGCAAAGCACTTTTTTTCAGCATTTTTCTGTCCCAGTTCTCAGTGTTAACCCTCAGAGCCAATATGTTTTGTTCCCCCTCTCCCTCTTTACTAAGCATATGCAAACCTAATGTAATTGGCACACCCAAGTCTTTCTATTGTAGTGTGTGGTGCTGAGCTGCTCTGGACTGGAGCGTAATGTAGCATGCTTAGTTGTAGCCTTCTACAGTAGAGCCATGTAGCGCGTCTCAGAGGACTCAGGTCTTATACCTACCCAGGTGGTTAATTATATAGTCATGCTTTTTCTGTGGAGGAGTCTTGATGAGTGGTTATGAATTATTTATATGCATACATTTTTGCATGTCAGACAGATGAAAGCCCTCGAGTGCAAAGTGGGGTTTTTTCTTCAGTTGATTGACTTAGCCAATATTCCTGCATATGTTAGATATGAAAAAAGTACAAGATGCAACTCAAGTGAAGTGTTTTTCTCATGAGGTCAACTGCAACTGAATACTAGTCAAATGGCTGTCAAAGCAGCGCTGTGTATCAGTGGCTCTCCGGGAGTTCTTCCTATTCATTTGTATTAGTTCACTGCCTGTCCTCTCCTCTCTAGAAATCCACCTGCACATCTTTCTTTGTGGTTGTAATAGAGGCCCTGTCTCCAGAGGATGTCAAGTGAGTTAGGCAACATTACCCTCAGGAATGCTACGGGGACACATTGGCTGACACCAGATGGTAGTTGTGTCAGTGTGTGTGCCCGCGTGTGTGTAATGTGTAGCAGTGTGCGGCCAACCGTTTGTGTGTGGCTGGCTGTGCCTTGTCTTTCAGTATCAGTCAGACAGGCTTACGGGCTCTGCGACTTTGTTGTTGAAGAACCTGCCCAGGCAGCATTTCCCAGGGAGCATTTTGTCCTTCCTTGACCACTGTATTTCTCTGCCCTGTCCTCTTTCTGGGTACAGTAGAGGACTCCACTAGTTCTGTCAGCACAAATGAACGCCATACTGTTCTCTCCATTATCCCAAGAGGATGTTGATTGGCAGCCACTCCTGAACACTAAAAGCATGAGGGAATAACAGCCTAGTCTCTATGAACATGTGCTTCTTTCAGGGGGCATGGATAAAGTGTGTTTTTAGCTAGCCGATATGTGTCGTTCAATGCATCAAATATGATAGGACGTCATCGTATGGAGATTAAGTTCCTTGTTTTCATCATCAGAGTGATTAGACACAGCTTTTGCGGAGAGGCATCAGCTTCTGAGTCCCTAGTGAAGCATTAGGCCTAAACGCTCAGCATTGCTTCAAGTGGGCTGAGATTCCACCCTGAGAATCTGCCATCTCTCATAACACCTATTCTGAATAGTGTGAATCTGTCCTTGGCAAAGCATCAGTCTCTTGCCCTCTGGGATGCCAGGTACTCACTTCAGAAGCATAGTTCTAGGCACTCTGTCGCTATATTTGGCATCTGAGCATCCTCCTCATTGAGACAAGTCATTCATATTAGAAGGATGAATAAGGAATGAAATTCAAAGTGAAAAGTTAGAGGCATAAGCTAGGTTTCCATCGAATTGGCAACAGATTTTCAGAAAATCTGAGCATTTTCCCACCAGTGGTGTATTTCCACCAAACGGACTTGTTGCGGATAAAAAATCAGTGCGTGACAACGTAGTGCACACAAAATGTACTTTTTCGTTTAAGCTTTCATGTACCAAATAAAAATATAATGTTCAATGTGTTTCCTTTGCATTTTCAACTCTACTGATAGGTTTGTCACAATAACTGTTGCATTAAATAGCAAATGTGCCTGCTCTGGTCTTAGCACGTGCCCTTTAGCCAACACCTCTTAGATACAGTGCCGGTGGGCTAGTCTTCCTGATGAGATTATTATGGATAAGAGCGAGAATATTTTTATTTGTCAAACGGCAGTCAATCATCGATCATCATGTCATCAGCATCAAGATCACCATGCACTTTCACCACTCTGTGAAGTTCATCATAACATATTTAATCTGTAGTCTAATAAACCGCATGCTTTCCTAATAAGTTGCAGTGGGAGGACCACATGTTTTTGCGTGACTCCAAGTTTACTTCGATATGATGGTTATTATATCAATATTTGCGCATAAAAGGGTTTCCACCAACATTTTTCTCAGAATTGATTTTACTGACACAAAAAGATCCAACCTGGTCTAGCGTATCGGTTTGTCTACATTTGGAAAGTTTACCTACACATTTTCTTATTCTATCAGGCCTGTTGTGACATTTTTTTTATCCGTTGTGTACTTTACTCACATAGAAAGGTTGGATGGAAACCTGTTTATAGCCTAGTATTGGCTCTGGCCCCTACACGTCCAATCATAACTCCCTTCCTCTTTCATTCCCCACTAGCATTAAGAAACTAAACTATAGCTGTTATAGGCTATATCACTGTCATTGATATGTATGAAATTGATATTTATCAGTGTCACTGTCAAATTGCAGGTCACTAAACCACGTGTAGGTTCTATAGAAATCTCATAGGCTACAGTTGAAGTCGGAAGTTTACATACACCTTAGCCAAATACATTTAAACTCAGTTTTTCACAATTCCTGACATTTAATCCTAGTACAAATTCCCTGTCTTAGGTCAGTTAGGATCACCACTTTATTTTAAGAATGTGAAATGTCAGAATAATAGTAGAGAGCTTTTATTTCTTTCATCACATTCCCAGTGGGTCAGATGTTTTCCTTCCTCATGATGCCATCTATTTTGTGAAGTGCACCAGTTCCTCCTGCAGCAAAGCACCCCCACAGCATGATGCTGCCACCCCGTGCTTCACGGTTGGGATGGTGTTCTTCGGCTTGCAAGCCATCCCCTTTTTCCTCCCAACATAACAATGGTCATTATGGCCAAACAGTTCTATTTTTGTTTCATCAGACCAGAGGACATTTCTCCAAAAAGTACGATCTTTGTCCCCATGTGCAGTTGCAAACCGTAGTCTGTCTTTTTTATGGTGGTTTTGGAGCAGTGGCTTCTTCCTTGCTGAGCAGCCTTTCAGGTTATGTCGATATAGGACTCGTTTTACTGTGGATATAGATACACAGTAAATCTTCACAAGGTCCTTTGCTGTTGTTCTGGGATTGATTTGCACTTTTTGCACCAAAGAACGTTCATCTCTAGGAGACAGAACGCGTCTCCTTCCTGAACGGTATGACGGCTGCGTGGTCCCATGGTGTTTATACTTGCATACTATTGTTTGTACAGATGAACGTGGTACCTTCAGGCGTTTTGAAAATTGCTCCCAAGGATGAAACAGACTTGTGGAGGTCTACAATTCTTTTTCTGAGGTCTTGGCTGATTTCTTTTGATTTTCCCATGATGTCAAGCAAAGAGGCACTGAGTTTGAAGGTAGGCCTTGAAATACATCCACAGGTACACCTCCAATTGACTCAAATGATGTCAATTAGCCTATCAGAAGCGTCTAATGCCATGACATCATTTTCTGGAATTTTCCAAGCTGTTTAAAAGCACAGTCAACTTAGTGTATGTAAACTTCTGACCCACTGGAATTGTGATACAGTGAATTATAAGTTAAATAATCTGTCTGTAAACGATTGTTGGAAAAATTACTTGTGTCATGCACAAAGTAGTTGTCCTAACCGACTTGCCAAAACTAAAGTTTGTTAACAAGACATTTGTGGAGTGGTTGAAAAACAAGTTTTAAAGACTCCAACCTAAGTGTATGTAAACTTCCGACTTCAACTATATATATATATATATATATATATATATATAGCTACAGAGCTTGATGATGTGATTGTGTAAGTGCCACCTATTTTTTGCAACACTGTTTAAAGGGATGGTTCACCCAAATTACATATTGGTTTCCCTGTAAGCAGTCTATGGACAAGTTATGCTAATTTGGGCATTTGTCCCAAATCCCATTCAAGTCATGCTATTAGCATTCTTTGCGCATCATGACCAAATCATCCTAAAGTATCTCAAATGTACTTTATAGCTCAACAAAGTCACTTATAGATGATTTGAACATGATGTGCAAAGAAAGCTAATAGCAGTCCCATGACTTGAATGTGATTCGTGCCACAAATGCTAAAACATTAGCATTTGGAAGCAGTGCCAGGGAAACCAAACCAAAGCATGGATTGCTGTCATACCTTGTCCATAGACTGCTTACAGTGTAAGGCAACCAATGTGTCATTTTGTAATTTGGGTGAACTATCCCTTTAAGCAAGTATACACCAGAACTTCTGTAATTTTTCTCAGTCCAGGCCACCCCATGATACCTTTCACATGCAGATTCAGGATTGTGTAATATGTAACTGCTACATCCCTGCTGTTTAGTCATTGTGGAGAGTATAGCAGACCGGGTCTAAATGATTATAGTACTACTGGCACCCTGCAAGACAGAAACGCTTTCTGCTCCCTGGCACTAAAAGAAACCACACAGTAGGCCTTTGTGGCTCTGCACTGGCAATTGTGGTTGTGTTTCCCAGTTTGCCTTTCCCACCCCTAAGAAGCCACTTCCATTTTGACATTGGCAGTCTTGTCACTGACATTTCAGCATCTACCTAAGAATGTCTCAAGGGCAGGCTTTAGAAAATCATGGCCTAATATGGAACAGAGCACCATTTCAAGTCATTAACCTTAACCTTAACTGTCCCCTGTAGCTCAGTTGGTAGAGCATGGCACTTGCAACGCCAGGGTTGTGGGTTCGTTTCCCACGGGGGGCCAGTATGAAAATGAATGCACTCACTAACTGTAAGTCGCTCTGGATAAGAGCGTCTGCTAAATGACTAAAATGTTTTAAAAAAATATGGAGTGAACTAACGTCGTCCCCAGGCTATTGCACATATAAGCCTGGTACATCAACGACTCAAAGTTGGCCTTAGTGGGAGTGACCATAGAATTATATGGGAGTGTTTGTCATTTAATTTTAGCGACTCACACAACTGCAAGGCGTGGCTCTGTGCTTGTGTTGTGCTAGCTTACGGGGGAGGGAAAGGGGAAGGTGTTGTGGGAGATAATTGGTTGGTAGATTAAGGTGATTTAAACCAATGCCTATGCGCCAGGAGTTTCTCCCGGTCTTTCTGTATTGGCTAACGAAGGCCAAGTTTGACGCGATTGTCCCCCAGACTCTTCGCACATTTGGGCGGAAGTGTCTGGGAACGACAGTAGTGAACTGAATTAGCAGTTAACTGAATATTCAAAGCCTTTCATTTCACTAAACATCAAAGGACTCATCCTGCTTTTCCAGACCCTTGTTTATAAGGTTTTTGCTTATTGTTTGAATTCCCTGAGTTTGATGAATGTACTGTGTTTGAGTCTAAAACCACATGTACAGCAGATCATGACCTATCGTATTGCAGCTCTACTCCCCTCTTCTCCCTTCCTACCATGACTTTAGTCATGTAATTGTTAGCATTCCAGGCCACCCAGCTCTGTTCTGGTTCTGAGGTACAGTACAGTGATGTTGCAGGGAAAGGGCCGCAGGAGAGGTCAGTGATGGTTTTGGGTGTCTGTGTGTGTGGCCTAGTGAGTAGTGACCACTTGACAATGCAAAGCTCAATAGATAGAAGAGCAACTAGGCCTTATGCTGTTTTAGTGTAGTGTACTAGTAGTGTCAGAGTTGGAAGGTGGGTTACAGAACGATGTCATTTTAAATTTTTAGGGTCTATTTGATCTGCCTCAGTATTCCAGTCCAAGAACTGAGTTTTTACATTTTAGTAAATTAGCAGACGCGCTTATCCTGAGCGACTTACAGTACATTTTCATATTTGTTCATACTGGTCCCCCGTGGGAATCGAACTGACAACCCTGGCGTTGTAAGTGCCATGCTGTACCAACTGAGCCTTTTAAGCTGTACAGTATGACCCGATAAGCTATCTGGTCATACTGTACAGACACAAGTAATATTTTAGGTCATTATGACCTCAAGCTTTTAGCCAATCACCCTGGGTTTGTGTGCAGACATGGAATGCATCAGCTGTGTAAACCAAGGCATATGTACAGAAGGGATCAGAAATATGCAAGGGCTGTATGCTGCCATAAGTGGGTCAAGCAGTGAGTGGGATAGGCCTAGTTGTTCTCGTGTAGTATCCTCTGTTTAGACCACTCACCGTGTTGGCCTTACAAATGGATAAGTTAATCATTACAGTCATGTTGTCAAATCCCATGTCTCCCCGAGGACCATTATCTGCTTTGAGTGTTTCATGGATTGTCACTTTTTCATGTAGCAGAGTGGTGTTCTCAGGTGATGAAGCACTTCTACCACTGTACGGTGGGGGTGGAGGAGCTCTTAGGAATGGATATTGGCAATCACTCAAGACGGTGACATCTATAATGTCTCATCCCAACAAACAAAAAAATTCTGCACAATGACCATGAATAACTCCATATTACTGTAATACACAATGGAACATTATTTTGTTAAGAGGGCTTTTATTTTATGCCCCGCAACATTGAACTTGATCTGTGTGAATTGATTTAACAAATGTACTGTTCTGAATATCCTGTTTATACTTTTTATTACACCAGCTCAGTAGCACAGAGCTGGTATGGTGCCAGTTTGCTGGCTTGACTTACTCCTAGTCTGATATACCATACTATACCATACTTACAGTTGTTAGTTGTTTACCTGTCTTTCTCTCCTTGTGCTTTGTCCCTACAGAGGTCAGGAGCAACACATCCGCTACGAGCACATATACCTGCCCGAGCCCAACAGCCAATTAGAGGTGGAATATGCTGAGATGAAGCGTCCTCGGTTGGACATGGGGGCGGAGTCTCTCATGAGGCACTCATCCCACCGCCCGCAACTTCCTCTGGGAGGGGCAGAAGACATGTTAAAGGTCAGTGTTGATTACTTAGGAAATGTACTCCTACTTTGATTGGTTTGGTTCAAAGTGCTGATTTGGATAGGACAGCTTTCTCATAACTGTGATGACCTTTCGCCTGGCTGGCGCAGGTTAAGTGGTTATTTAGCATGGTGTGGGGAGTCATTTGACACTGTATGTGGTTATTTATAGCTACTAAATGCCCACAGTAAACAAACAGTGATGTGGGAAGTAGCTGTGCTGTTGCGTTTTCTCTCCCAGGAATGGCTGGGTACTGGCTTTGATATATTTTTCTATATGCCTGCTGGGTCACAGAAACCCTCCAAAAGCATAGGTTTAACAGTGTAAATGCAAAAATACACAACACTAATGGTAGTGAATATTTCCTCTTCAGCAAGGGATCAGTTCCTTGACGGAGAGGAGCCATTCATAAGTAATGCAGATTGCATTTCCCTTTTAGAGGTCCTAACCTACTCTACTATCGGCCATGCAATAACTGTGCTCTGCTTTAGCTTTACTGGTGATGGCTGTGTCTTAAATGAATAGCGCAGGCATTTATTTGCTTCATTCACTGAACACAACCGGCGCTTTTTAGAGACAGGCTTCTATTTGATCCAGGCGTCTATTTCCTTAATGCAGAAAGCTTTTGCTCGATAAAATGTTGAAAAGACTACCACACTGTTTATTGTGACCAGTATAAACATTTATAATAACAAATCCATCGCAGATGAGACTTGCAAAGGCTGCCTATCATACACCTCCGATTTTGCGTCAAACCACACTGCTGTCTCATCAATGGAAATGATGTTGCTCTCCTTTATCCTCATTTGCGCAATCTTTCTTGTACTCACTGAAGTTCACTCGTAAATATACATTTAGAGCCAGGGCTTATTTGAAACTGGGAATTAATTTGCTGGAATGTGTGCCGATTCCCGGCTATTGAAAGGGACAGGCTGCTATTTGAGACTGCGTTTAATTAAAGTTTTACGGTAAGTGGCAGACACAGATGTGTGGAATGTTAGCTGGATCTGAGAATGTGTCCCATGAATAGGGCTGGTACAGTCAGTGTGTGTTACTTTCTACAGGGTCTGTTTCTAGGTCAGAGGCTCAGGGGAAGGTTGTGCTGCTCACTGCTCCGTTCTCCCTTCACCTGTCATCAACACAGAGGATGTCACTCTGCTAGTACTGTTTCTCTCAACAAGTTATGGCACCTGGAAGGTGACTCTGAAAAAGCACTGAAGAAATTATTGTTCCCACTCATACTCTACCATCTGGCGTCAGTGGTAGTTGTTTGTAATCAACATAGTGCTCCGGGAACAATGTTGTTACACCCACACTTACTGTCGCTGTTTAGCTAGCTACATCCTGTTGGTATCTTCTACACGTCAAATGTTAGCAGAATAGTAATTTTGGCCATTTTGCTAATCTATTCCAGAGGATGTATAATTTCTAGTCAATTTAGTCCATTTTGAATAAGGGGCAAGAGGAGGAGGCTTTGTCTCTACCTGCTCTACCTAGGGCTGTGGTGTTCATTCAATTCTGTCAGCCAGTGATTGTCAAGCAAATATCTGCCGGTCTCACGGTAATTGACCATTAATTAACATAAACATGTTTAGCATCTCCTGGCTTCCACACATAGCCTACAAGCCACTGATGCAGACCTTTGGAACATCTACATTTTAAACAGTCTAATAAATCCATTTAATATAGCCTACACCATCACAGTAAATCCATTATTTATTTTTGACAGGTCTAAAGAAACATGATATGAAGAAAATGTTGGCTATTTCAGAAGAACAGAATCGCGTACTCTGAGTTGTTCTTATGTTAGTCCCTGATATGGCTATGCCATATGGCTGGGGGCTACACTAGTTAATTTAGCAGACAAGATTTGCTTAGAATTCCGTGGCACTATTTTTTAAAATTAGAATACAAGGGCTGTAAGAATACAACTGAACATAGCTGAATAAAATAGAAAGGATATCTTCTCCAAACGTTTGCCAAGGAAGTGCGCACATGCGGCTATTCTGTGTTGAGCGCTTAACAAAGTAACAGGTCATCCTATATGCTTAATTGAGAGTTATTTATGCAACTTTACCTGTGATACAAACGTTGGGCTATATGTTTTGATGTTTAATACATTCTAAGGCTGCATGATGCGACTCTAAAAATGATTTGAAAAAAGTTGCATGAAAGGCATGAACCCTGATTTTGTTTCTTGTGTAGGCTGCACACACTTCATCAGTCTCTCAGTCACAATTTGACAAGCACTTGATAATATTTTCACCAGGCCTCGAATTTCCCGACGGCATCCCCCTTGTGTGGCCGTAATGCCCCCTAAAAAATCCATGCCTTTTGCGGCCAAAGTGGCCGTTGTGCCCTTGGGCTGAATATAATAGTTATAATTCCCTTCACCCGGCTACAAGTGATGACGGACACATCGGGAACGCAACTGCGCACATCCCTCTTATCGAATTCCGAGGCGCATATTGAAGATGTTAGAAGAACTGTCCACATTTAGCCTACTTTTCGTCAGCCAACAAGATGAGTAGACCTAACGAACAGCAAAAGCACTAGCCTATGTCAATCTACTATCCCTCATAGTACAAAAGTTGACCTATTCTATTGGTCAACTTGTCCTTCTGTGCAAGAAAGAAATACTCCAAACATACGCTGGGACAGTTGTGGGATGCGATAGATCCCAAATTAATACAACCACTTTTAAAAGCAATGAGGCTGATGCAACAGATCAGAACATTTAGCTTAATGTTGATAAACTATTAGGCTATTTCATTCACAATATAAGCACAGCAATGCGCATACGGCAGTAGGCTATACGCGCAAATGTTCCAAAATGCAATCAATTAGCTGAAAACAAATACATGTCATCTATGCACTTAAATAGCGAATGGAAGACACTTTTCCCGTGGTTCATTTTCATTCCAGCCAGGTATGCTAGACTCCTGTTGTAAAGCAAAGCAATGTGCTTAATGTTAGGAAAGTTGATAAATAAATATAGTTTTTAATAGAGGCCATCAAAACTCTGTTTTCTCACGCAATTGCATAGCCTATAGCAATGTTGCTCAAAATGAGCTTATGGGCTGTCATGAAGTGTTTGATTTGATTTTCGAAAACATTTGCATTGATGTCAGCGTGATTAGAGGGACAATAGAATGCTGAATACCCGGCAGTTATCAAGTCTGGTAGGCTACTAATGACCATCAGCAGCATCAGAGCTTGGAGAAGCCTAGTTACCGTGACTAAACGGTCACCTGGAATTTGACTGCGGTCATGACTTGTGACCGCCGGTGTGGCAGTAATACGGTCACTGTAACAGCCCTAGCTCTACCCAGTGTTAGTCATCCATGGCCTGGCTTGTCTGTTGGGACAGCAGCAAGGACAAGGACCCTCTACTGTGCTGTGTGTGTTTCTGCTGCGTGTGATCCTGCTGAGTGGCAGCATCTTCCCCCGGGGCAGCCACGGTATTATTAGACGCCACCAACGCCACAATGTGAGCTGGGACTGGGAGGAGGATGGGGAGGGGGATTCTGACTTTGTCTTACATGAAGAGCAGTGGGGAATATGAGCTAGCTGTGAAACAAACAATTAATAAATAATGGAGCTGCTGACCTAGATTTGAAAGGCCTCTCTCAGGATGAAGCACCATAGCAGAGGAAGATGAAAACAGCAACATCACAGTGAAGAGCAGAGATACTGCTAGTCTAGAGAGATGTTCCTGACATGGTACAGAGCACTTCAAACTGTTACGGGAGGCAGCCAGCCAAGGAATGGTTAATAGATATACCAATAAAGGAGGCTGCAAAATACACACAGATTATCTAAGCTAGCTGGGAAATATTCAGGAACGCCAGTAATTCCCCTCAGAGTGCTGAGGGCTGTAAAGCCATTATATAAGTGCTGTCAGATGCAACCACTGTATGGAAAGAATGAGCAGAAGGAGAGAGGGGGATGGGGATCGAAAAGAGGCAAAGGGCAAACACAGAGAAGAGGCACAGATAAAGGGACGGGGAAAAGGGAAAGGGAGGAGTAAGAGATGGAGGGGCAGGAAAAGGGAGAGCAGACTAGACTATATAATAGCAGCAGCCTGTCTAGCGGGGATATACAGTGCCTTCAGAAAGTATTCACACCCCTTTACTTTTTCCACATTTTGTTGTGTTACAAAGTGGGATTAAAATTGATTTAGTTGACATTTTTTGTCAACGATATACACACAATACTCTGTCATTTCAAAGTGGAAGAAAAATTCAAACATTTGTAGAAAACGTATGAAAAATAAAACACTAATTAATCTTGATTCGATAAGTATTCAACCCCCTGAGTCAATACATGTTAGAATCACCTTTGGCAGCGATTACAGCTGTTCATCTTTCTGGGTAAATCTTTAAGACCTTTCCACACCTGGATTGTGTAACATTTGCCCATTTTAAAAAATTTGTCAAGCTCTGTCAAATTTGTTGTTGATCATTGCTAGACAACCATTTTCAGGCCTTGCCATAGATTTTAAAGCAGATTTAAGTCCAAACTGTAACTTGGCCACCCAGGAACATTCACTGTCTCCTTGATAAGCATCTCCAGTGTGGATTTGGCCTTGTGTTTTAGGTTATTGTCCTGCTGAAAGGTGAATTCATATCCCAGTGTCTGGTGGAAAGCAGACTGAACCAGGTTTTCCTCTCGGATTTTGCCTGTGCTTAGCTCCATTCAGTTTCTTTTTTATCCTGAAAAACTCCCCAGGCCTTACCGATTACAAGCATACCCAAAACATGATGCATCCATCACTATGCTTGAAAATATGGAGAATCGTACTCAGGAATGTGTTGTATTGGATTTGCCCCTAACATTACACTTTGTATTCAGGACAAAAAGTGAATTGCTTTGCCACACTTCTTGCAGTGTTACTTTAATGCCTTGTTGTAAACAGGATGCATGTTTTGGAATATTTTTTATTCTGTGCAAGCTTCCTTCTTTTCACTCTGTCAATTAGGTTAGTATTGTGG